ATCCATATAATTTGATTAATTTTCATGTGACCTCCATATTCAACTTTTAAATCTAAAAAAATTACCTTTTTTTTTTTACCAGGATTGTTGTCCAAAAATTTTGAATTGACATATGTTTCTACGATGTTCACTTTACTATTCAGTCCCTGTTTGGTTTCGTTAAAAATCAAACTTAGAAATAGATTTTAATAAAAAATGATGATGTGTGTTGTTGAAAAGTTGTGAATTTTATAAAATATGTGATTAAAATTAATTGTTAATTTTGACTTAAATTTTATTATCTTTTTAGCTAAATCAAACTGGGGCAATGAACATTTGGACAACTTTCTTTAGTCGGGATTGATTATGCAATTATAAAGACTTGCTCATTTGTACAGGTAGAGGACCAGTTTACTACTTGGATAATGAATTAAAGACTAATGGGGCAATTTTTTTGTTTGTAATTTATATGAAAAGATAAGGCATATTCAACTAGGATTGCTTTTCATTGGTCTAATAATCACATCATTCACAATTGTTGTTATTGAATCCATGGAAGAGGAAAAACAAAGTGATCCCTTTTCATGAAATATTGCGTTTCTTCGAATAACCTACTAAAGACAAATATTTCTTTTTCTTATATACATCACGGTGATTCGAAACCAAAACTATGCCCCTGTTTGGTAAATATTGAAATTCGGATTTTAATTTAAATCAAAGTTAACAATAAATTTTAACCACATATTCATTAGTCCCACAACTTTTCAACTACACATATCATCAACTTTTATCAAATATACTAAAAAGGGTTACTATAGATGCAATAGTAACCCAATGAGATGTTACTATTGATTTCCCATATCTTCACACCTCCAGTCCTCCAATTTTATACAACATCATTTTTTTCCCCAGTCTGCTATAAAAACGATGTCTGTGCATTTTCAGACCAACACAAATCTCAATTGCCCTAAGATCATGAAATCAGCTTTCCAACAACGAGTATTTTCAAACCAACACAAATCTCAATTACCCTAAGATTTTCTAAATATATAACTAAATCAAGCATGCCTTCTGAATAACTTCAGCAACTAATCGGTCACAAACCATCCTAACATAGAATAATTAAAAAAATGTTATTCACTCTGTCATGTGATATCAAGTTTCATACACATTAACAGTGATATACAAGTTCCATAAAATCATTAAACTTTTGCCAAATATTTAAGATGAAGTAGATAATACAGGGAGAAAATAAATGAACATATTATCCCATTGAATAACACTAAAATTTTCAGAAATTCATAGCAGAAGAATAGCAATTCTAACAATGCCAAGAATGAGCATTAAAATTAATAGATAATGGTATCTAATTATGCTATTGAGAAGATTAAGGCACAAAAAGGAAAATGTAAACTCAATTTCATCATGAAAGGAAAATAAAATAAAATAATTCTCCGGTAGCACCACAGAGACACCATGTCTCCGCATGGAGTGAAAGAAAAAAACTCTCCAGTGGGCGGAGATACTCTCTATGCACCGCGGAGACAATTTTTTTAATACTATCGATGGTTTTGGATTCAAGTCTTTTTTCCCCAAATTGACTCTTCTTGTTATTAAATTTAGACGATAACATTTGCTTACATTTTACACAAATTAAATACAATTTCACTTATTAATAATTTGATATGCACGGTTTGTATTTATATTAAAATATGTTGAAATTTAAATTAGATTTGCTCATAAATTAATTATATATTTTCAATGCATACATGAAAATCAAAATCAGACCCATCGGAGGCCTTTTCCCCGAGCTCCCATGAAGGGCGTGCCCCCTCGATCCCCGCAGGCCCCACGAGGGGCGTTGAACTTTATTGTCATAAACTTCTTTGTCACTTAGGCTGTGGTGCCGAAACTATATTTTCTTTTGGCCTATTTTGTCTATTCCTTGGCTCTGGGAATATTAAGCAAGGTTTATGCGGTTGTTTCGTGAATCAGGTCCTTCTGCCATTGGGTATTCGTTTTTCTCAGTCCCTTCTTTGGGGTTTGGTTTACAAATATTATCTGCATTTCAGCTCTTTGGCCTATTCTTTGATTATTTGGTTTGATAAATGGATTTGATGAAGCCTTAGATAATGGAGAATAAATTATCTACTTCCCTGGACACGATAATGAAACTTGGCGTATAATATCCCAAGAAATTTCTTCTATTTATATAAGGATTGTTCGTTGGAAAACCTACCTTCTTGATGCTTACTGGAATATTAACTTCAGAATAACTGTATAACTTTTTCTATTTATCTTTAATTATTTAAATGGATTGTTTGCAAAGACTTTGGTAACTTTGTTCTGATTTTCTGTCAAGGTGTTTCCTTATCCCCTTTCCAGACTACATGACAAAAATCATAGTTTATTAGCTATGTTGAGATTTGGAATCTGTGATACGCCTATTACCAGTTTCTTCATTTCTTGATACCAAAACTGTGGTGATACAAAATTGTGTTGATATCAAGATAATCCTATCCTTGGATTTGCTTCCCAAAAAAATGCTACCATCGATCACAATTATAACACTCCAACTATTCCAACGTGGCATTCATTTTTTGGAGGAAAGCTAAGCAAGTGTGGACCACAAAACTTATTTCCTCAATTATTTTCTATTTTTCCCACCGTTTTCCTTGTAGATGAAAAATCATACAACCCCAAAATTTTCACTTTTTTTCACTCTCCACATTGAGGTGTTAATAGTGTAATTGTGATTGAAAAATGGGTTTATTTTGTCTCATTTAAAAAAGCTCTACTGTCTTCAGAAACATATTTGATTTCGTTTTGGTTACAAACAACTTGAACTCAATGTTGTGTGGGCACATGGGTAGCATGCAAATTTACTTGCCTCTTCATTCTTTTACTATTTATTACTAATTCTTCTCTTATGATCGAGCAATGCAATGCATAACGAAGAAATTTAGAAGAACATATTTATTCATATATGTTCTCGTCTTTAGAATTGTTCAACTCATCTGATCATACCTTTTTAGGATAGTTTTTTCTTTTCTCCATTCTTGTTTTCTCTTTGTGTTATGTAATTGAGTGTGACAGGATTCAGCGAGTCAATTTGTTTTAGCTGTAGAGTTCTACTGGACATCATTAGACTTTCTTGTTTATTTTTGCATTCACATCTGATTAAGGTGACTTTTATTTTATAAAATGTAATATTCACTCGTCATGAATCGTGATTGGATAAATTGCTGGTGAAAGGCAACCTTTCATCTGGGAGATGGTCGACCCCTTGGTGGTTTAGATTGCAGCAGCATTAAATAACTTTTTCTCTCTATTGCGTTGTTTTTATATCTAGCTCTATATTAATTGTGATTTCCAAAATATAGAGTATGCTATTTTTTGTTCCAGTGAGATTGTTTTCAAACAATCTTGATACACCGTAGGATTATCATAATTTTGTGTACTGCCTATACTGAATACTTTTACTATATCGTTGCGAAGTTCACTAACTAGATGCATTTGTGTAACTGAGAATTTAGTTGCTATCATTGATGGCTACTTGTTTATTTCATTTTTTACTCTTTTTTATTTGTCAGGGTCATTAATAGAAAAACACTACTTGTTGTCAAGCATTTGAAAAATGAGGCCTCGCCATTTGATGATCAATTCCTTTCTTTAGGTTGCTGATGCTCTGTATTATAATGCACCCTTGGCGCTCAATGTTCTGTAAAAGCTTAACATTGCAACAGAAATGTTTAATCTTTGGTTCCTAATGCTGGAACAGACTAAAAAAAGTGGAGTGTGGCTAATTTTAAAAGGTATACACTTGTTTAGGTTTCTTTCTATTTTCTCTCCATCTTCTGTCAGAGAGACTTGCTTAAGGATTCATATCATGTTAATCTTGCAGGGAACAAGATAAAAAAGGTATGCTGCTTGGGCTTAACGTCATTCATCCCTATCTCTATTGATCAGTTGTCGGGAGAGGCTTTGGAATTTGGATACATGATGAAATTATCTGTGCGATTTTCATATGTTTTTGTTGTTGCAAAGTTTATTAATACTGTTTGATCAGAATCAAATAAAGTTTGTAATAAAGAATACAAGAAGATCATAATCAGAATTATC